TGATATTGTTATTATTTACGATGTTTTACATTAGTATGGGTTTCCACGGAGCACAGTGCCTTAGTGCTCACTCCCCAGTTTATTCATGTTTTTCAGGTCAGGATGTCGGGCCGGGAGCGTGACGTGACGGGGCATGTCGGGACTTGCAGGATATATATATATATATGTTTTGGACTGTATAACTATGACTTACGCTTCCGCTATATTTTGATGACTTGTGATGATGTTTTGATATCTTTTGACGTACGCCTTTGACAAACTCATCACTTTGACGAACTTTTAAGAAAATAAAGTTTTCAGTAACCGGACGTTTTTATTAAGTTAAAACAACGGTTTTTCTAAGTTAAGTAAGGATTTTTCACGGTAGCACCCCGAATCAGTTTTCGCAAAGTAAAAAGGTTTTATTTTCAAAGACTTTGCGAATTATTGCGCTACTCTGATTTTACAGTAAGGTGGGGTGTTTCATGGCCGGTTCACAAAACCGGCCGAATATGGACCGGCCGACCAGAGTCAAAATACATTGACCAAGGGCCGGCCGACAACATTGGCCGGCTAGACCTGAGCCGGCCAGCATAAGCGGCCGGCCAGGGGTGAACCGGCCGGTCCGGCCGCCCGGCCGCCGAGAAAAAAAAAATCTACCTTACTCGCCGCCATCGTCGTCGCCGGAGTAGGTCGGAATTTTTTTCGGAATTTTTCGATGTCCGGAACCGGGAGAAAAAATATGTAAAGTGAATAATGAATGTATTTTTTTTTATTAGAAAGGGCAAAAACGACTTTTAGGGGGCGGTAATAATCGAAAAGGGGGGCGGCAAAAATCAACACCCATTGAAAAACCGACCACATGCTATGTTAGTCTCAGGTAAGCAAAAATGCTTACGGCACAAACGAACACTTTTAGGATGAAAGAAGAAGATTATAAACAACTCAATGTATTGAGTATTAAGTTTTTCTGTGTTCTTTACAAATGAAAAACTACATCCCTATTTATAGGAACTAAAAAGCTACTATTCAACACTTTCCTAGAAATTACTAAAGCTGAAAAATCAGCCTAAAGGGGCTGCTATGAAGGTCCTTTGCAGCTGCAAGGAAGCTACAAATAAAATGCAATGAAAGTGTAATGAAAGTGCAAGGAAGTTGCACTTCACTAACAAGGAAACTGCAGGATTATATCTTACATGCTAGAGGTGAGGACAAAACGTTTGAAAAATCTTCTCATATGACTTAAGGTATTTTTCATGCCGCTCTTATGGATGATTATGGAGCTTCTTGGATTCGGTTTTTATGGTCAAAATGGCTGAAAAATACTTGTAAAAGAGCTGAAAATATAATGGTGTTAAGGATAGAGACAAAGGCTTAAGTTAGGACTCGAACCGATCGAAATTTGGATTGCTAACGTTTTACCGAAGAATGGATAATTTGAATAATAAAATAAATCAACATTGATGAAAATAATATTAAGGCAAATAAGCGCATATAATCACATAAGTCACTCAATCACATTTATTCGACCAACACTAAATGTTCGCTCACTACCGATTTAACTTTATAGTCGAGCAAAGTGAATCGGTTCTATTTACTAACTGAACGGGGCGTTACAGTTGTGCTAGAGACCTCTGAAGTCCTGGCGCGCCTAGGAGCAGTGTCGCGTGACTCCATGCCTCAGCACCCGCGCCCCACGCCTACAGATGCCCGCAGTGCGCGACCCGCCAACAACTCAGTGACAGGTTGTCTCCCAGTGTCCCGTACGCACCCGTGCGCCTGTGTTGACCCGTCCCTTGCGTGCCTGTGTGCCCCCTTGCGTGCCTGTGTGCCCAGGCGACCAGCAGCGTGCCAACGTCTACCTAGCAGCGATTGAACCAAGTCTGCGCTAATAATTTCCAGTACCCAGCGGCGCCCAGTAGACCTAGGTCTCCCAGGGCTTAACACATAGCAGTCAGTGCCCAACAGCGCCCCAACAGACCTAAGTCTTGCCGGTAGCATTTTAAGCCGAGCTGGATCAGATCGAGTAGTCTGATCCCAACCCGTTCCGTGGATCAGTTTTTTGAGCCTTAAGATTAATTGATACGAGAATTCAAGTTGGGTTAAGAATGTAAAAAAACAATGGTAAAAGGAGAAGTTAAATTAATTTAACTAAGAGTATATTTTTTAAGAAATTAAAATCAAATAAAGAACTTATTTTAATAATTCTTTAAGTAAAGTATTATAATATTAAATAAATTCTTAAACTTGTAGATTAAGAGGAGTCGAGCCCTCAAACAATATCTTAGCATTCATAAATCATCCGCATTCGAAGTAGGGATTTATACTACGTGTTAATTCTCTATAATTGTTTGGTATTATAGTAAAGATATGTATATGAGTATTTGTTTGACCGGGGCCATCAATTAGATATCCCGTTGCTCACCCCTCATTTTTCCCTCAAGTTAAGCGAGCTAGCGACGGACACGATGGGCGAGTATAGTCATGTCATGTTATTCAGTTTTATGCTTCCGCTAGATTATTAATACTTGTTGCGTTTTTAAACGTTTTGCATGAGTTTGAGAAGATGCTTTAATTGTTTTGAAACATTTAAGTTTTTATTGCATTTGAGTATGCTTTAAGTATGAGATGAACAGTTGATAAGTTGAGTTACCAACTGGGAAGAGTTTCCCATAATATTAAGTTTTAATGCAAATCAATTTTAACCAGTTTAGAAGATGAAGAAGAAGAAGAAGAAGTAAAGTGCCCTAAAGATGTTATAAATTTAAATATTTTCGAAAAAGTTGAAATTACATGTGAAAAATCAGTAATTTTCCAAAGATAAATAGAGGGGCCTTACAATTATGACCGGTTTTAAACGATTATGAACGGTTGAGTTATTTCATATCCTATCATCTAACTCAAAATCAAACTCAACCCAATTCTATTACTTCCTAAAATATAATTAAATCAATTAACCATTTTCGCACATCACATCAATTTTAATTCACTATATATCCACGCACATATTTTTAACTACACATCAAATTTAATCATTTTATTTAAAAAAATTATATATTTCAAATTCAAAATCATCCACTCGATCTACTTTATTAAAAATAACTCACCTTAACCAAACAAAACCGGCCAAAACCGGTTGGGTTCATATCCAATCGCGCCTAGACATCCACTCATTCGCAACAGTGAATATACAGATCGCACCTACTCAGCATGCATTTATTTTCAATTTTACACTCACATCCAGGTGAATATAAAGAACTACCACATCAAAACTCAAATTTACAATCAAAACTCAAATTTACACTCACATCCATAGATGGTTTTCAATTTTATAACAAAATCAATTTATAACTCCATCCAGGTTCAAATTATTGATTCAGTTCACATCAGGACCCCTACTCAGCATGCATTTATTTTCCCTTTTTTCTAAATCGTAACGCATGTTAGAGAATCGTCTCTTATTTGTTACTATACAAAAACCTACACTCCGAAACATTTACATGATGAGATAAATTTGTGTGTGTATTTATGTGTATATGTTAATTGAACCTGACGTCTTCAGTTGAATTATACAGTCCGCCATCCAGTCTATGCTTGAAGTGGTTGTTCTATCTGCTCGCCATTTTGAAGTTTATTTACCATGGATACACTATTTACAGCCTGCATATAGTACATATGAACGGTGAAATATAACCATATGATATAGGAAATAATAATTCTTCATCACAAGGCCTAAAGACCTTGAAGATATGTAGGGATTTTCGTTCTTTGCATTGCATGCAACGACCCGAAACACATTTATAAGCTCAGAAAGGCAAAATACTGGATAAGTTGCCACTAAGTCAAATCTTTTACATTTTTCAGTTATTTCAATTGTTGATCAAAACAAATTAAACAATCTATATAAAAGACTAAAGCAGAAAATCGACAAGGCTTTCTGTGCAGCACAAGGACAAGGAAAGATTATAATTTCAGACAACTAACCTTGAAGGCTAGCCTAATCTATCTATAACTCCCTTAAAAGTATGAGTTGTTTCTTGAAACTTTTGAATTGCCAAGAATATCCTCATAAAAAGATAAGTGTTAAGGTTATTAATGTAATTTTCTTATTCATGTTAGGAAGTTACAACTTTTAATTATTATATTTTATTTTGATGCTTAATTATATTTTAAAGTTCTTACACATACAAAACATTACCTACACAAATTAATATATTTTAAATAGTAATTTATTCTTAATTATATTATTTTGAATTAATCTACATATATGATGTTCGGTTTCGATTTGGTTATTTTAAAGGCAGTTTTAAAATGTAAGAGAAAAAATTATTTTAAGATTTCTTAAATAAAATATATGATATTTCATAAGTGTGAAATATATAATGCATCACTAAAAGTATCATCTTTAATTTCTAAATATTATATTGTTTACCATACAAATTTTTTGTTATAGTACTAAAACAATTAAACAAGAACAATTTAGTGAACATGCATATGTTTAAGAATAATTGAATCAAATATAATTATCCAACATACAAAATGTCAACTTTTTATGTAAAAAAGTTATTTGTTAAGTAAAAAAAATATATAATCTTAACAT